CGTCGCCGGCGCTGAGGCCTAGACCTTGAGGCCAAACGGCATGGGCCAATTGCTGGGCAGGCACACGCTGTTCCCGGTTCGCGCATTGCCTGACTCGTGGTCCCGGGGTCTCTGAAGCATGCATCCGCAACAGGCTATTTTTAAAGCGCCCTCCAGAGCGTCCTGGCTCTCCAGGTTCGGCCATATCTAGCCCTGCTTGCGCGCGACGCGGCCAGTTTCCTACAGAGTGGCAATAGGCAAGGAGTCTATGATCAACAATCGCATATCCCGTCGACCTGCCTCCTGTCGCGCTACGAGATCCTCCGCTGCACGCTTTATTATCAGTCATCCTGCGCGTATAGGTATGCTGCATCCGCATAATTGTCGGGCATCATACGGGACTAAGCGTAACAGCAACCAGGACACGTGTCGTTCTAGTGACAACAGCGGATTGGCGATAATTCCACACATCAACACACGGCCCATCGCAGAGGACCAGTGTGGATCAGGACGTTTTCCCTTCTCCAGACCCTTGGGCCCAAGACGACCTTCGCCTGTCTTCGAAATGGTCGACGATTTGCCAACGCTCCCAGGCTCTCTCATATGGGACAGGGGCCGATCGGAGGTGCGCCTGGTCAGCTCGCCATTCTCATCGTCCCCACCCATCGCCATCATCAGGGACATCCGCCCGTTACTGAGCAGCCCAGCACGTCTGAACGCGGTCCGCCATGCTACTGTGTGCTGTTCGCGGCGTCAGAGCGCTTGGAGGCGGAGAGACGGGCGATGCAAGCGGTCGACGGTGGGGCAGGTGGCGAGCCCGTGCCGCATGCCACAGGGGCGATGCTGCCGCTACACGCGGACCTCCGTTGCTTCTGGATACGAAGAGGTGGGCACAACGCAGCCGGCAGGAGCCGTCGCTGCTTTGGCCGTTCTTGCTGTCGCGCCTGCCTGCTCTGGAGACCTCGAGATCCGGACCTTTGACCGGGTCGAAGATGAAGAGGATGACGAGCAAACCGCATTCTCTAGCACTAGGAGACCCCGTCATCTCCCTCCTCTGCCGGGAGATGCTTTCCGCGCCGGCACCATGGCCTTCGCACACGTCAGGACGGCCAGGGTCGTTGTACCATACCCGGACGATGACCCCGCCGCGGAGTTCGGCTTTTACGTCAGCGCAGACACTGTGCTACCCCTGTTTTACCTCCCGCAGGTCCGCACCCTCGAGATGCACCGCGTTGAGGACGGTGGACGGTTGGTTTCATGGCCCGCCGGGGCAGGGCCCCGTCTCCGCGACGCAGCTTAAAGAATTGGTCATGAGCAAGGCCCAGCTGACTGAAGCAAGTCTGGACCGACTTGTGCGAGCATGCCCAGACCTGGAGGTTCTCCGCTGGGAGCATGTTATCGATGCCGAATACGCCCCGGTCGTGGCTTGGACTTGGACGCGCTGCGCACATCGCTCGAAACCCTGAAGCACTCGCTACAGGAGCTCTCCTTCAGCGTGATTCTCTGGACATCCACAGCTATCGACTGCGGCGAGCAAGGGCCGTGGGGTATTCGGGGCACGCTGGCGTCACTCAGGGGGTTCTCTCAGCTTAAGCGCATCACTATCTCGCTACCGGTACTACTGGGTGGAGAACAGATAACTCGGCAAGGCTCGCCGACGTGCTCCCCGCTAGCATCGAGTGTGTTACAGTCAACTAACGAAATGTTCTTCTGGTGGCACTCCCGATGGGACGACGTCAAGTGGGAGGCGGACGACCCAAGCGCCCCACGGTGGGCACACACTCGAAGCTAAAATCACAGAGTACCTGGAGGCTAGGCCGTCAAGCTTAAGGCAGCTCAAGGTCGAGGTTTGGACAGCCGGTGAGACATCACGGGCTGAAGAGTTAAGAGACAGGCTGACATCAGTCGGGGCTGCTACTAGTGTTCACGTCACTGTTGAGCTGAGGTCATAGTTACGGAGGCTAAAGGAGGTGAAAGGACGGAGGACTACAGACATATTATACAAGTCACGAAGCCTTTACTTATGGTAAGGTGAACTGGTGCCTCGGGTGGAATATCTGGTTGATAGTAGCTTAGCTGCGACTGAGATCACTACGTAGTCTCAAGAATCATCAAAGAAGCTATTAGGAGCCCAAAGACCCAAACGCATATGTAGTAGTTACCCACCAGCCTGTGTACGTCTAACATCAGCTAGAGCACCCTCATCTCACCACTGATCCCATGACTAAGAACGTCTAACGATACCTTGGACAGGGCAGGGAAGCATATGACGTTTCTCAGTGTTCATAATAGTCTGTTTCCACAACGGACGGAGAAGTGCATAGATAGGCTAATCTAACCATGTTTTTCTTTGGTCTCTTTTGCTCTTTGCCTTTCTCAAGCATCTCCTCACACCTTAAAGCAGCAGCTGACACTGTCTCAGCATGCAGTATGTTCTTGCCATCTCGCCTTTTGCAAATGCATATTGCAAATGCATATAGGCCTTAAACTAACCCCCTAGGCCGTAGTAGGCAATCATATAGGAAGTGGGATGTTGCTGCCATAGCGCTGACACTATAGGTAAGGGACAACATTAAGCTACCCAACATAACATAACACAACAAATGGAGGTGGTGCCTTTGCCTATAGTTAGCAGGCTGGCGCATAACCCCTTTCCGACCATCAAGGCCAGTAGCAGTGACTGCAATTATCTACAGGCCTTGTTTCTGCTGTCGGAAAAACAGCTAAATGTATAGTGTATATAGTTGAACTAAGAAGAGCCCCACGCTCACATACAAATTACACTAGATGCCTTATTACTAGTAGGCAGGCCTAGAAGAGTACACTGACTGTTGTACCAAGGACCGTTAAAGCTAGACACGATGTTCAACAGCTATAGGTAGTCACTTATGCCTTTGACTACAGAAGCAGCAGCAGCATCCCGTCAGGGCTAAAACGTCATACCACAACACAACGCCTAGGCCGGTTGCCGCACAAATGAGCTAGGTAGTCCGAAGTTTCATCTTTAAGCCACTCTAGTGTTCAGGAGCATTATAGGGGGCTAATTCTCTTGCATCCCGCCGCTAGGTTCTAAAACGGGGTGGTGAAATCAGGGCTTCACACGAGTTCAGTCGCATATGAACAATCTGCCCACTGAGGCTTCACTCATTGACTTCAAAGGGCCACGGATCAGCTGTACTCATAAAGATAGCGGCAAGTGGCGTCAAACCGTAGCCGGGTCCAGGACTCCAGCCCTCCGTGAAAGCAGCGACAACTTCAAGTTATCCATAAGCTAGCAGTGGGATACTGCGTAGTACTCCTAGGGTCGGCCTCTCGCCGGCTACTGGAAGATACGGACTATATACCTTAGGTATAGCTTATCCCAAAGAACTGAGATAGCAGGACGAGGTTGATGGACGTTTTGCAGGCACGACGGACCACCCTAGTATCTTAGCCAAGGTAGAAGTCAATATGCAGCGGGAATAAGAGGCTGCAACGCCGCGCAGCAGAGAGATATGGCCGAGGCCGCCCACTGGTATAGCTTAGCATAGTGCGTCGTGGCCCACCCACCATACGCCCTGTAAGCCGGGAGGATAAAGCAGTTTGGAACTGTCGCCATCACTACTTTATTATTTTAGGAGTCGCGTAAGCATACGTACGTTACCGTATGTTATAAAGACGAGGTCGGGGCACGGACGACCCTCGTGATGTAGCTAGTAGATCTCGTGATGCGCCTCTTCATTTACGGGGGCTTTAAGGTACTCGGGAAGCTCTGTGCTCTGGCTATTCCATCTATTATGTGTTGGACTTGTGACCTAAGAACCTCCTGCCTCCTGGCCGACCACGCCGTCTCCGAGGAACTGTGTAATCGCAAATGTTGATATATTCTCACCTTCACGTTAGTTTCCTGTTCTGATCCCCTATCTCGAAGTGCCGCCGCACGAGCCCTCTATTCAAGATAGTGCCGGGGCCACTCTTCTTACAGGATATGCCCTAATGTGTTGTTACTCAGGCCAGCGTGGGCAGGTGGTGGAAAGGGAGGCACATGTATAGCTACGAGGGACTGCTGATCAATTTCCAGTATCTCCCTCCAGGAAGCGAGAGATTTTCCAAAGGCGGGAGAGATCTGTCATATGGCCTCACATCTAATCCGGCCTGCCTCAGCGAGAGTCCACTCAGCGTCCGTCATCTGACACCCATCGGGACGAATCATGATATCCCGCTACAGGGATGCTTGTGATCTGGCTATGAGATTCAAGGCTACCGTCGGTTCCGCGTGGAGCTTGCCCGCCTTGTTGGCCGACTCAGCCGGGGGGACTGCATGCCAGTCCTCAGAGCGTTCGCAAGGTGGTAACTGCAGCAGGTCAATGTATTCATTGTGAAGGTAATAAGGTAGCATCTATAAGCCTCGCCATCCGTCGCAGCCTGCACTAGGCGATTCCAAGGCTAGACCCTGGGCTAGCTTACAGATAGACCTCGGTTAGCACATTAGGCTGTGTGCTGCCGTCCGTTGGTGATTGCGATGCTAAACACCTCGTTTCCCGTCCTTGCGTCTCTTAACAAAGTGGACGAGTCCCAACCTGGCGAAAAGAAACGCAGTCCACTCCGCAGCGCGCTCCATTCTACGGCTTGATTTGAGGCCGTAATAGTCCTCTAGCGAGGTTGAGGATACGGGGTTGACGTTAGCGACGTCATCAGCACAGGCAGACCGAGACCGCTTCCCCCCAGGACGAACGGTGCACAGCTTGATGAGAGATTCAATATTACATCAGCATGAAGAGGATTGGGAGGGGGCAAGTAAGAGAGGGGACACCCCGAAATAGTGCTCAAGGGTTGGGGTTCTAGTCAGGCTGGGAGCCAGCTTGCGCTCGCGTTTGTGTGTTGCGCGCGGGTGGGTCGGTGGGCCTTGGTCGATCCGGACATCCCGCGAGGCGGATGGTCTAACGGAATAATTACCCACCTAAATGATAACATAAAAAATTGCCGGGAGGGGACACCAAACCAGCATCGCTTTTTCAGATAGGTAATGGTCAGTGAAAAAGAGGATAAGTCCAGACTCACATGGCCCGTCCTGTTACTTATATTGAGGTGCTTATAACAATAGACTCTCACTATGAAGCCCACACACTTTCTCTGTATTCCACTGGTCACCCGATTGTCGCGGCCTGGGCTGTCTGCGGAGTTGAGCGCTCTTAAGTCATACATTACTAGTGCGGACAATATCAGCATCCCCGCGTCCGCTGTGCGTCCCCTCAGCACTATCCACCTCACTTTGGGAGTCATGAGCCTTCCCGAGCCCAAAGACGTTGAAGAGGCGACCCAGGTCCTTCAGAGCATCATTCCTCTACTTCCCCAAAGGCCCATCAAGATCTCGCTCCTTGGCCTAGGAACCTTTCCTGGCATAGATCCAGGACGTGCCGAAATCCTCTTTGCGCACCCCACGTGTCTCGACTACGACTTCGACGCGCTATGCCAAAGAATCCGGCATGTGTTCGAGGATGCTGGTATCTTCGACAAGAGAGGCTTCAGCTTATTCCTTCACGCCACCATCTTAAACGCCAGGAAGACCGCCGACGGGGGGCTCATTGACGCGACGGAGATCCTAAGGAGCTATCGGGGACACGTATGGATGGAAAATGTTCCTCTCGAGGAAATCGGGATTTGCCGGATGGGTGCCAAGAAGAAGGGGGGTGATGATGAGGAATATCTGCTCGCAGCTTCCATCCCACTCACGACTTCGGCTGATAGATGAAATGTGAGGTGGAATTCTGATGTAAGGTAGAGCAGCCACTTGCCTGCTTTTACCCTATTAGTTCTAGATATCTAGTAGGTCCGTTCGCTAAGAGACCCCTTCAGGATCGGGGACAGTGCCACTGATTACCAGTACAGCGGCTAGTCCTCAGGTCTGAGGGTTAGTTGAACCCGAGCATGAGGTGACTTGTAGTCGGATGGGACCTCTACAGGTCTCCAGCAATTAACTTCGTGAGCATCCTCGGACCCTTTCAGCTCATCTTCCTCCGCGAATACTCGTTAAGTTTAGGACTAGTCACCTTGGCCCCTAACCACTTCGATCTAATTACCACAGCCTTCAGCAGCAATGATGCCTGCGTTTATTGCATCCCACTGCACACTAACTTAGGCATTGTATCCCCAGCGAAAGCAGGCAGCATATGCGAGAATGCGAATTCGTTTCTTGGACCTCGCAATAATGCCGTGATCGTTTCCGCCAGCTTGGCTCCTCCGGAGCTAGATGGGTACTTCCTCATGAGTTTCAACAGTCCTCGGCCATCCGTTGCTAAGCGGACAGAACGATATGTCTGT